ACTAAAAAGTTGGTGACAACGAACTGGAAGATTAGAAAGAACATTCTGTCAACTCTCTCTAGAGAATGCAGTTGTGCTAAAAATACTGTCTAATCAAATGTAAGGAAGAAGAGGTATAACTTTAAAAAAAACTCCCAGAAGCAGCTTTCAATTGATATCTCATCCATATTTGTTTACTCCAATATTTCAGTCTGATTTCATGAATTAAAAATCCAAATGCACATGTTTTCAATTTAATCCACCTAACATAAAAGGAAAGTTTTTATGTACAGCCATAGAGGGCCAGCATCTAGGATAGGAAGAAACAACCTTTGTACCTGAAGGTCATTATAATTTGGATCAAAACTTTTTAAAAAATCTATATTTGTATATTGTTGAACATAGCACAGAGTAATTAATCCTACCATGCTTGTCAGTGCCAACTCATTCCTTTTTTCTGCATGCATAGTTTTGTATTAAGAGAAATCTTGAATGCTCATCTTTTTTTAACCCATTATTCATAGAACTAAAGCCTTTAAAACCTTTAGTTGCAAAACAGCCAATCATACACAAAAAGCATCCATGCAATCTTAAGCAACTGCCAAAGAAAAAAATGTAAAATTAAGTATACTGCAGAAATCAGACTTGCATTACAGTTTCTTCCACCAAGTTGTTCCTTCTTTCAGGCTGACAATATGAGCTTTAACCCCCTTCTATTGCAGTGGTTCTTAAACTGAGGGTAATTCAGGCATATTCTGGGGGTAATGGAGCAATTTGTAATTGCTTGTTTGTGAGTTGGGATCCACTTTGAGACTGCCACTGTCAAGACACATGAAAAACAACTGTCTGAAGGATTTTTTTTGGAGGGTGGGGGTAGTAATTACATTATTTGAGGCTGGGTCAAACAGTTTAAGAATCACTGTTCTAGTGAGCAACGCAGCATGTTACCTGCTGCAATTACTAGGTCCATCATAGATAGAGCACACACATATTGGGGAATTGTTTAACCAGAGATAAAAATAATAAGGAAGCAGATCTATGAACAATCATGGATATACACGCACACTTACACACACAGAGAGACACCAGTTTATAAATATAGAGGACAAGATATATGAGAGAGTCATTTTTTCCTTTCTATCGTTATCCAGAAGGAGAGGGCATATTTCCACAAGTTTTTTGAGTACCTGTGGTTTGCATGGCACCAGCAATTTTTCTGAGTTTTCCTTTAAGCAGCTTTATTGTCTCCGGTCATCAATTATGCTTCTGGAGGATAGAAATTCTTGGGCCACCAGTGAGAATCACCCTCTTAAACATCCCTTTCTTCATGTTTTTGTCTTTAAGAGCATGAGAGTTCACTTTTTTGGAAATTAAAAGTGGTTATTATTATTATTATTTTAGAAATACTTATATACTGCTCCAATCAGAGGTGGAATTCAGCAGGTTCTGACCTCTTCTGGAGAACTGGTAGCTGAAATTTTGAGTAGTTCAGAGAACTGGTAAATACCACCTCTGGTTGGCCCCGCCCCCATCTATTCTCTGCATCCCAAGTCCCAGCTGATTGGCTGGGTCTTTTTTTGTTGCCCGACACAGGAGAACAGAGCTGGAAAGCAGGTTAGTGGGGTGGGGAGGGAATGAAGATTTTGCAGTAACCTTCCCCTGCTTTGCCCACCAAGCCATGCCCACCAAGCCAAGCCCACAGAACATAAAAAAAAAATGAATCCCAGCACTGGCCAAAATTGACAAGATTCCAGGTTGCATAGTAAGAACAAACCTAGAATAGAATTATCTCAAACACAATTTTAAAAACAGCTTCTATTTTACATTGCCTTCCTACCCCCTCAATTTTAAATACCTTAATTTAGTTCCAAAGCATATAATCCAAATTAAACATTTACTTATATGATTTATTTAAATGAATCATGCCATAATAACAGCTCCACGCACAAATTTGCTAGTCAAAGTTTAACCAAAGTCTCAGAATACTAAAGACTACGAATGCGTAGATTTCCTTCCCATTTTGGGACACTTATAATTGTATTTCCTTTTCACGTTTTTTTCTTTTGGGGTTGCTTGTATGAGATCATAGTTCTACCCAGCATAAGACTCAGTCTTGAGATATATTCATTATCGTTCATTTTCTGAATTTTGGGTCTCTGCATTGCTACTTGTGTAGTAATATATACTTAGATGGGCCACTTTTCAGCCACTGAATTTCTAAGAAGACAACTTATCATCTTCCACTATATTGATTTATTTTGCCATGCTATTTATATTTTGTTTCTACAACAAACAAAAGCAAGTTCTGAAGCACAAAAGCAACACAAATCACACATTATCTCAGAAATCATTAAAAATTAAATTGCAAAACTGTTCTGCTGTAACATCTTGTTTTAAAAAATGCTATGTGAAGTTCAAAAATTTGAATACATTGCCAGTTATGATAGATCAAGGGAAAAAAGCAAGATGTTAGATCTTTTTTTGTTTTGTTGTTTAAATTTCTTAAACAATTGTTATGCTTTTATTGCTTCATGCATTTTTAGCTGACAAACTAAATATTAAAATTTTATGAAATAGTTTATAATTGATAGCATCAATGATAGACTAATGGTAAGACAATGAGGAAAATTAAAATAAAGTTGTTTTTATTTTTTCCCCAAAGTTGCAACAGGTGCTTCAATTTGACTGTAATTTCCTATGGAAATACGCTCATTAGAAATGTTGCATTCTCTGCTCCATGAATCATCTAAACCAGTGTTTCTCAACCTTGTGAACTCCCAAAATGGTGAACTGAAACTTGTGAACTCCCAGAATTCCCCACCACAATTGGCTGAGAAATTCTGGTAGTTGGGATCCACCCATCTTAAAGTTGAAAGTTTGGGAAACACTCATCTAAAGTTTTGTTCATACACGACTTACAACAGAAAGACAAGTTTGCACAGTCTGCAGATTTTTTGGAACACCTATTCATTTGCTTCTAAAAAAAATTTATAATAAGCATGTACACAGTCTTCAAGCAAGAGAAGAAAAACAGCAAGAAAAAAAATGGAAAAGAGAGATATAGGGAACTTACTTTAAACCCTAAAGGCATAAAATACTTTAAAAATACTAGACAAGATGGGTGGCACACAAATCTAATAAATAATACATACATACATACATTAATATTGAAGTTGCTTAAAATGAAACAGTTTATGGGGGGAGAAACCCTCTCATTTTAAATAAATCTCCTCCCAAATTCTTCTGATTTAGATACCTTTCAAGTTTAATAACTTTAATAGTTAGCTTTTAAGTTTATCAACTTTAAGTTTATAACCTTCAGTAGAACCTCTGGTACAGTAGAACCTCTGGTCACGAATGCTTCTGACCACGACCAAACTGGGTTCTGACCAAAAAAATTCACAAAATTTTTTAATCTGGTCACAAACACATACTTGAGTGGTGATCAAACATGACCCCTGACCCAGAAATTCCTGAAGATGAAACATTAGAAGATGAAGAAATTGCCAAAGTTATGGAACGAATTATGGTTGAGACTAGAGATTCTACTGTAATTTGAATGTGGCTTTCAATTCAAGTAAAGATAGGACTATCAGCCACAGTATGTTGTGGTGAAAAAACACAATCCAAACAACTGCAATATTAGGGGATTCTTTATATTATCTAGGTGGCATGATGGCTCAGCCGTTAAGATGCTTAAAAAGACCGACAACCCGGGTTTGAGATCTGAGCATTGCTTGACTGGGTGAGCTCCCATCTTCGCCTAGTTTCTGCCCACCTACCAGTTCGAAAGCATGCAGATAGCTTAATAGATAGCACTTTGGTGGAGAGGAAACAGCTGTGATGTCATGCTGCCACATGATCAAGGAAACATCTTCGGACAGTGCTGGTTCAATGGCCCTTGAAACAGAAATCCCCCTATAGTCGGTTATGACTAATGAAGTAAAATCTGCAGGGACTTCTTTCCTTTTCTTTATATTATCTAGCTCCGTGCTCAAGGAATGCAGTGACAGTTTTGTTTCTAAAGGCACGCTACAAATATTTTAAGTAAGAAAAATATAACATCCCAAATATCTTTTGAATAAAATACTGATCCCATTGCGAAGTTGATTTCATATCAATATGCACATGAATGTATACATTGGATGCACACATAATAAGATCCCTTTTCTAATAATCTATTAAAATCTATCATTTTACCCTTTGGATCCCCATTTCCCTCTAGAAAATAAAGAACAAGCTTCGATAACCCTCTTCAAGCATTAATTTCAACTTCAATAGGAAGAAACAAAGGAAGCAAGATTAAATTGCAAGGAAATATCCAAAACCAAAAGTCTCTAAACACAAACCAGCATAGTCTGAACTTCCATGAGACTTGAAGTGCAAGAACTTCTTTGCTTCCTGCAAAGAATCCCACTTCTGAGGGCTGGCTTTTATCCCTTAAGAGAGGGGCCATCACCTTGCAGCCTTACTCCCGAGTCACCCATGCTGCTGAAGCTGGTCTTTCCTTTGAACAGCCCTGCGCGCACACGCACAGGGCACAGGCTCCTCAGGGTCCTCTGCATCACTGCTGCCAGCCTCCACAAGCTCTGAATGCAGCACTCCACTCTCTGATAGTCCTGGCCCCGTTCCTGCATCACACACAGGCCCCACATCCAAGTCCTCGCTCTCCAAGACCTCAGCCACCCGCACCTGCTGTGAGCAAACCACAACACTTATAAGGCTACTCATGCAGCATCAAGCCGATGAGTTCTGTTGTTACAACTATGTATTTTTCAATGAGTAGGGCATTTTATCATTTGCCACTGACAATTACACATGGTAAATTTTTCTGTGTTTTAATCCTTGTCAGCTGTCACTTGTGTGAGATGGATGCCTATATAAACAAATTAAATCATCATCAATTTAGCCATTGTCTATCCACTGCAGGATGAAGGTCTCTTTCCAACCTAATCAGAATTGTAGAGAAGGCAGGCCTTTCCCATATCTTAATTAATTAACTGATTTTTCTAAACAGGTACCTGTAATTGCTTTCTTCTCTCCTTTCTCCAGCTTGGTTTGGGAAAATTCAATATTTCCATCATGGTCCATTGGCTGTTCTGCTCTTTTCATTGCTGTGCCTTTAAAGCTCATCTGAAGCTGGCTGGTATATTTCTCATGCTGAAGAGGAAAGGCAAGAAATTTGGGAGTACATACTCTGAAATGAGCAGGAACTCACAAAGAAAGGTTATTTTTTTAAAAAGGAATTTGTACCAGGAAAATAACTGAGAAATATTGCATCACCTATTTTTCCAGTGTTTTGATTCTAATCTTAATCTCTGTATTAGACAATTTGTGTTTTAGAAAAGTAACAAATTTTGAATTAGGAGGCTTGAGCAATTATCTTTTTGGCCACTGAACAGTAATTTCTGAAATGATACAAACGCAGAAGGAACAAGAAACACAAGTGGCTCCTGCTCTTCCAGACATGTCTAATTTTAAGCAGAATACTTCCATCCTCTCCCCATCACACTTGATTCAGGAAGATAAAGAGCTCGTATTTCTTTAGGACTATCTTGCCTTCAGCAGAAAAATCAGGTATATCAATGGATGAAAACTGACAATTCCTTTAAGTATTACTCAATGAAAAAATTTATTTTTTAATGTTTATTTATTTGTATTCCACATTTATTATTTACAAATAACTAAAGGCAGAAAACATATAACCCACCTTCCACCTATTTTTCCCACAACAATTCTGTGAGGTGGGTTGGGCTGAGGGAAAGTGACCAACCCAAAGTCATCCAGCTGGCTTTCATGGCTAAAGTTGGGCTTGGATTTGAACTCATGTTCTGCTCCTTTCCAGCCTGGTGCCTTAAGCACTAGACTAAACTGGCCTTAATAAGAACAACTATAAATATACAAAGATGGAACTAAATTATAAAGTATTTTTGCTACCAAATAATGGAACAGGAGGCCAAACCTTTAGGCAACTACTTTCTTGCACATAACATTAAATCTTAGTGTAGAGTTACATGCAAATCTACCCCAGGCAAATCCTGGCATACAGAAAAAGCTTGACTCTCTGTGGAGATACAAACAAACAAGAGGCAAGGTACACAGATGACTTCATTTCAATATCTTGGCAGCTGAATCCATCTAATTTGTTATATTTTCAGAGACAAAATCAACAGGTAAACTTTAGGAATCTTTGGTTGTTTGGGTGAAAGTGCAGGCAAGTTTAGAGAAAGGTGAAGAGTATTGTGTTGATATAATCCACTGCTGAAAGTAAGTCAACTATGTCCATTTTAGGTGGCTGTTCTTTGCCAAAATACTGCTCCATTGGCTTCTCACTGAAATCCGGGTAAGGTTATCAATCAGCACTGCTATAAAGCCCATGATTCATGTTTTCTGACCAGCAATGACATGCATGCAATGAAAGAAAGATGGCATCTTTCCTGAAAAGCATATTTTCTCAGAGTTGGGTAATCAAAACACAGCTTATAGCCCTACTTTGTGCAAGCCAAGATTTTTCAATGTTTTTACTTGATTTGCTTTAATAAATCAAATCTCTAGAACTCATGGCTACCAGTAAAAACCTGAAAATGTGAAGGAATCCTGTCCTAAGGGCTAGGTGGAAGCATAAAATTATAACTCTAGTCTTGGCAAAGCACAGAATTGCCTTGGGGGAGATTAGCGGTGATCTAAGATTATTTCAGCATACTGTGTTGGTAATTTCTCATGGGAAAGCTTTGTGCAAATATATGGGAGAGGTAGCACAAATCTACATCTGAGGTTTAGCAGATCTTTCACATCAATGAAGCTTAAGTAAGAAAACATCTAAACTGACTGTGCTTGGTTCTATGCTGAGGACCAGCACATGAAAAGTTTGTTCCAATTCTTTCCAATTATTATACATATGAACTCGGATTTCAGTGATTTTCAAAGCATTTTTGTAATTTACCTGAATATAATGCATTTTGGAAAAGTTTTTTGAAACACAAACTGCATTGCAAGATTTGGAAAAGTATAGTTTTTAGCAGCTAATGCATCTAATTATATACGTTTAGAAAGTCAGAATTGGTTATTTGAACAAACAAAAATAATAAGTACAAAGCAATTTACCAAATCGACTTCTTGGCTACCTAGACCTGTATTACAGGTTTTCTAAAAGTGGTAGCCCCTTTCTATTATCTTCTATAGTTTGATCCTTATTTAAAAGAAAGTTCTTTAAGACTGAGCTTAACATTTTTATGTATAAACTCTATACTGAGCTTTCACTCTATGCATGATTTAGGACTACAGTCCTTCTGAGAATTCTGGTCCTTCCTTCTTCTCTTGCTTTCCCTCATTTCTTTTAACAACCTATGTTAAAGATGGCAAAAATAAAATAGTATAGTAGGACTGATGCAGGTCAGTTAAATTCCCAGCAGAATTCACCACTAAAAACCATAGCTTAAGTATTTTATTTTTCTTCACTTTGCCACTTAAAAGAGAACATAAATACTTACTTTTAGTACTTCTTCTGGAACCTTGTGCTGGATGTGTTCTAGGACATACATGTTTGCATGTAGAAAAAGTATTAAGAAAAAAATGCAGCTTCAGGAGAACTCAGACATATGTTAACAGTAACTTTCAAGCAATCTATCATTCACATAAACAAACAAATCACATCTCTTTTGAGACTATTTTAAACAGAGGGAGGCAACATATCACTATATGAAGCCTTCCAAAAATTTCAGGGCTACAATGTTGGGGGAAGGCTAGGGTATAAAAGTAAACTCAAAAGAGGTGGAAAAACCATGACTGATAAAGCAGTTATTAAAGGGTTAACATATGGTGCATTCAGTAATACTGATTCATTGATCGGAAATTGAAAAGGCAAAACAGGTACGTCTTGATTTTTCTTTTTAATCAAACTATTTATAACTGGGGATCATAAAGGAGAATATAGCTATCTGGCAAATCTTGTAAGAGGCCTCTACTTAAAGGTCATTTTTGTTGTGTAGTAAAGTGTTTCCTATAAGACTTTCCTTTGTTTAGAATGAAAATATGAATTCTAATAATAATAGAGGAATGATCATGACTTTTCTAAAAATTGACTGAATTTAAAATCTTCCCTGTAGGGAAGCCCAAGCTATCAGGTGCTCCAACAGAAAAGAATGAGTGAATCAATACCAAATGAGATTGATGATACAGATACAATATCAATACAATATCCTTTCCTTGTTTCCCCTACTTTTTCTTACAACTATTCATTATACGACATTACATTCATACGGACCAAAGGAACTCAGGAGTACCACAATGACTGCATCAGTTTGGACATATATTTTCAAGGTGGTTCATTAATGGACTCTTATGGAGAATTATTCATTATGAAGGGGTCATTTTTAACAATAGCATTTAGCAAAAAGGGACAACTTACACATCCCAGAAAGGCTGCAAACATACTAGTGCATGTCCCACTGGCTACCAGAAATGAATAGTAAAAAAGAACAGCAAGAAGTAACAGACCTACATAATTCCAAAAATGACTGATAAGATGGCACATCAACAGGAAAACTCCAGCTGCAGTCCCTGACCAACATCATCATCATATGGTAATTCCCAAACTTATTAATTGGGCCATAGATATTTTTTGTCTAAATTAAAACTGAACACCCTTCACCATTTCACGCAAAGACTACCCATTTCTCTAGGCTGCTGTAAAGCAACAGTTTCTTGGGAAAAGAGATGCCAATTAAAATTAAATTAAAACTGCCCAGAGTCAATCAGGTATTAAGATGGGCAACGTATAAATTTGATGAATAAATACAATGGCTTTTAGAAAGTTGATCTTTGCCTTGGGTTAATTCACAGATGAAATTATTCCTTCTAAGCAAAGGAGATGTTTCTGAGATTTGTTGTGCCTATCACGGGCATTTGTCATTCCTTTCACGGGTTACATCGGGTGCAGCTTTACTCTTTCCTTCATTGCTCATCATTTCCCAGAAGAAAATATTAATGCACCAAGGTATCTACCTGCCAGCTCTAACTAGCAGGGAGAATGTTGGATGCTGCCCAAAACAGTGGCTTAATTCTTCAAGAGTGTCATGTTGTCTGTGGTGCACAGCTGGGGAGCCAATACTGCTGCTAAGTTCTGTGTCTGCACTGCACAGAGTGCATCTCTTTATTCAATCTCTGCTCAGTGACAACTCCTGGCAAGAGCTGTCTTCCGCTCTGCAGTGTTCAAGAACCAAAATATTTCTAGGGTGGTGGATCTTCCTTATAGAATCAGTCTTTGGTTAATGAGGTTCTATCTCCACAGAGGCACTGCAGCATCTGAAGGAAAGGAGGCAGATGCTAGCAGTGGCACTAGGCAAATTCCAGTTTGTCCAAACAAAGAATGGACAAATATTCTAATATACATTGCAACAGCTCTTAGTTAAAAGGAAAAGAAAAATCTAAGCAGCAAAAAGCTCCGAATTTGACAATTAAATTAGTGGTCATTTTCTGGAAGATCTCACAGAAACATCATAGACTCTGATCTTTCTCTGTGCCATATATGTATGTATATGCATAATGGTTCTCTTTTGAGAGCTGAATGCAACAAAATTTCATTTTAATGTATGCTGATTAGTGTACATTTAAAGTGACAAAGATTCTACTCTTATTCCTATTCCGATTCTATTCTTCTCCTATTCAGACGCTTGAAGGAATGCATTTGGAGACCTAGAAATCTCACTCAAGCAACTCACAAAACCAGGCCTTAACTGAAACTGTTATTCAAATAAAGCTGCTCCTTATAAAGTCTTGAAGCTTGACTATTCAACTTACCTCTACCAATGGAACTTGAAGTAACTACCGTAGTTATGTTCAAACAAAGGAATGCCACTACTGCATCCCCAGTATGCTTCTATCTGGCATGATCATTCTCTTCCAGCAAACTTTGATCAGAATGCACAAGGAGGGGAGGGAAAGGAAAGGATTCAGCAGCATCACGCAAATCAAACTGCTAATCAAGGGGCAACAGATGCCACAACTTGCTCATCCTCCAACGAAACTAACAAATCGCCACAAGCAATACCTCATTTGGATCCATTTAAAATCTTGAAAACCTGGCACGAATTGCACACCAGCCAGGCTTTTTATTCCTAACCAGAAACACTCAACATGTGGGACATCCCCACAGGAAAAAAAAAAGTAATTGTAATGAAAAAATGACAACAGTAAGATTTTCACAGGCTCCTGTCACAGTTCCAAAACACAGTTGGCCTGCGTTTTCTCCAAAGGGTGGGGAACAGGAGGAAATTAAGGATGCCAGAAAAAGCAAGGCAAGATTGTTAATGTAACTTTAAAGAAAACAGTAACAAAACAAGGACAAGCCCTATTCTGGAAGGACAGGAGAAATCTGCTTGTTGGCTACAGTGGACAGATGTGTGCATGGGAACTCTGCTGACTCAGGGAATGTAAAAATGGAGTAATCTATAAAGAGCCAAAGGAGGATGGAACTTGGTAGGAGGGTGTTTTGTTCTTTTTTGTTTCTTTATGCTGATAGTTCAGTTAAAAAAAAGATGAATAAATTGAGCTGAATTGTAGAAGCATATCACTTTGTTTTAAGTGATCCCCCGTTGATCACGTCCCTTCTTTCTCTAGCACGCACACAAACACACACACACACAATTTCAGTCAGTCCTATGTCTGCTGCCAAGAACTACCAAAATGTCCTAATCTAGTCTTGAAAAAAAATAGTTCCTTGCCAAGAAAAGAATATACGACAGCGGTGCCTGGGCTTGCATCTTAAAACACAATGCTATACTCAACAAAGCAAGAGGAGAAAAACTCAGAATTGAAAAATGGTGTCGATCGCAGCATAATTCTGGAAGTTGTTGATTAATCTCCTACAGTGTGAAGTATCTTAAACCTGGAAGCAAGCAAATATAAAGAAGGATAGAGGATGAATTTTATTTCAGAAAATGGTGTGGGAAAGAGAAAGTAATAAATGTGTATAACATTACGAAGAGTAATCACATAAAAATGTTTTTAAGTACTCTTCAAATGCTTGCGGTGGAGTAAATTGGCCCACTTATTGTTGTCCAGACCAACTTGCATCTTAAGAGTAGCAGCAATTAGCAATATATTCCTCTGCACTTATAATATAAACTAATGTGATCTCCCAGGAACTCTCAGTTAGAAAAACGTATATATTATATTTTGAAGACACATTTCAGAAATAAACCAAAAAGTAGAAGGGTAAAAATTCCAATCTCATAAAGTGTGCACTTACAAACACACTGCACTTTGTCCACATCAGACTATTTGTTCATCAGAATCAGCATTGACAATACAGATTTAATACCAAGCTACAGTTTGCAAATCTTTCCAAAAAGAGTTAAGTTTGAGCATATCTTCATTTCATAACTAGTGGCAAGGAAGGTGTTATAGATTGCAATTCTTATCTAGAAGATATACAACAAAATGTATGTTTTGTACATACACGCTGCCAAGTGAAGAACCATCAAAACCTTTCGACAGGAAAATTCTCACACTGAAGCTAATAAGAACCAGCTGTTTCATCAAGCTCAAAACTGAACCCATTTTCAGTTTTGCCAAGCCCCACCCCCATGCAAGATAAATTCCACAAACTTCTTTATTGAAGGCTCAGTGAAACAAATGTTATTAATAAACTGGTTTTTTTAAAAGAGCACTATATACATAATACTGGTAAACCTCATTAAGAACCACTTGTTCAGAGACCATTCAAATAATACTTAGTGGTCCTTGAAATTTCAGCCACTGCAGCACCCCTACAGCCACACAATCATGATTTGCAAACTTCTCTGCTGGCTTCCCACAAGCAAAGTCAATAAGGAAGTCTGAAGCCACTGTCATGTGAGATCCTTGCTTAATAACCCTTGAAATCCTTGTTTAACTACACCAACCTGGTATATGACATCACACTTTACGACTGCATCTATTTGTGACATAAGTGCTGATCCAATCACCATAGTTGTGGTACTATGTGCACGCGCCTCCCACCACCAGCTGGTCTTTGGGTCTCTGTTCCACATATGCTGGGGGGGGGCAGGGAACATGGGGGTGCGCATGCGCATTGCATTTTGGTGATGCACGCATGTGCTTTGGGCACTCAGTTCATAACTAGTGGCCGAAGAGGTTAACTATCACTGACCTATATGCTAACAGCAAACAAACCATAGACAACGGCATGAAGTCTGAACGCTGCCATTGAATGAGACCACTCAAATCTGCTACAGGGAAATCCAGGGTCCCATCCTCCCAGCAATAATCTTTAGGCTGAGAAATAACCCAAGATCAAAACTACAGTTCATGGCCGATTGAGACATAAGCCTGAATCTCCCCAGTTCTAATTTGATACCAGACTAACTCTCAGAATGACAGCGACAAAAGAGCATATATTTTCTTGAGCTCAGGATGGTGATCCTCCATGTGGAGTGTAATTTATATAATTGGATCTGGTGAATTTACTGTATTTTTCCCTCCATAAGATGCTCCTGGCCATAAGACACACCTAGGTTTAGAGGAAGAAAACAAGAAAGAAAAAACCTTGCCTCTGCTACCCTTGCATCAAACAGCAAAGAGTCTGGTCAGCTTCAGCACGTTATCACAGCCCCAGCACATGGCTCATCAAGGCTCTGCTTTGTTGTGCCCACCACTGGTCAGCTGAGTGACAGCTGGATCCCGGCCTCCCACAGCCCAGCTGATCAGCAGGCTGGCTGACCAAAAATGCTGCCATTGCTGCCTCTTCCATGTATGCTGCCTCCACCAGGGAACGCTGGAGCCTTTGCCACTGAGCAGCTGATCAGCAGTTGGATTGGCCTCCCAGAATACCACCAATCAGCTATTCCAGGCAGTGGGGATCACTGCCACCATTCACCACTGCTCCCTATTGTTGCCGATGCACTAACTCCCTCCCCACAGGTATGGCAAACTGCCGCAGCCCCATCTGTGACACTAAAATGGACAGACATTTCCACCCACTTTTTTTGGGGGGGGAGTGTGTCTTATGGAGCCAAAAATATGGTAAATTTTGTAAAAAAAAAAAAAAAAAGCAGTGTTTTTCTTAAAATAATAAATCCTGAACCTTGATAAAGGATATCATAGCCGAAACGAATCACATCATTCAGTTTTAGTGTGATGTACTTCTGGTCAGGGATTCGTATGTCGTTCACAAAAGTCTATGGAAAAGAAAGACAAAAAATATCATTCAAGGGACACGTGAGGAGGAGGAAGAACTCATGCGGAGAAGTTTAGAGAGGAAACAGTCTTAAGCTTACAAAATCTCTGTCTAACCTCTGCCCATCAAGTGGTACCTCTTTCCTTCCCACATACAATTCCACATCATTTTGGTGCTTGTTTGATCGACCCCTTTCTCCTGTTGCTGAAAACAGCTTCAGCAAGACAGAAATCAACTGCATTTTGTTAAAAATGGGCAACCACTTTTTGTCAGCCATATAAACCATTTGACAGAGCAACTCAGGCAATACTACAAGGTTATTTTTCCAAACCATAAAAGCTCCCTTATTGCATTTTCTGGGCTAAACAGCAAGCCTTTGAAAACTTCAAAGGAACCAACTTCACAAACTTATACTTTTAAAAGTATTTAAAAACCTACAATGTCAGTAATCTTTATAAAAGATAAAAATTTACAACAGGCTGGTTAGGATTATCCACATAGTGAAGACAGGAAAGAGGACCCCGTAAAAGAACAGCCACTTGCTTTAATCCATGGCTGAAAAGGAATTTGGACCAAGCATCTCTTCCTTAACCACTAGATAACAGAAACACTGAAAGTGCTTAAATTTATTCCCAGACAATTGCAAGAAGTAGATATTACATGTCATGGTATATCTCAAAGCTGCAGACACTTAAGTATGATAAATATAGAGAACTGTCTTCATGCAGAATTGCACTATATTAAAGATTTCTCCTGTCAAGTCAGGTAACATGACACTCCAGGCTACGTATGTGTTTTTGCAATAGACTCCTTCTCTGTTCACAATTGTGAAAACTAATGACATGGTTTCTTTCCACTTTTCAGAGAGGAAACATTAAAAACACGTAGAGAACACTATTTTTAAAATATTAAATTTTGTTCAGAAAATAAAAAGCTGTCCAGAGTCGCTTTGGTTGTGAGATAGGTGGCATAAAAAGTTATAAATAAGTAAGTCCTACCTAACAGGATTAAAAAAAAAACCTGACAAAGCCTTACCTTACTTGAGTGTGACACAGCTATGGCACTCTGTATCACTTCCCATCTACTATACCCCCAATCTTATAGTCAGCATATAGTCCTGAGCTCTAAAATACTGCCCATCTCAGTTTTAACAGTTGAAACAGCTCAACAGCTTAAAGTAATTATTCCTTTTCTTCACAATACTTTACGAAGAAATACACTTTATTTTTGGCACCAGGGTGTTAGACCCAAACATTTATCAATGATGTAAGATTAATTGAGAGGCATCATCAGTGTTGCAAAATGTGTCGGACAATCTGAGAGGAGTGCCTTTGGAAAAACCATCCAGCTGAAGAATTTGCAATCAGTTATATTGTATGTGTACTGATCGCCAGTGTACATCAATGGCCTTATCCTCCTTGATAGCTAGAGCAAAAAATACTCTGCAATTTGATAAGCCAACTATAACAGATAACTCTTCAGTAAATGGGATTGCCTTGCAAAATGTTTCCAGACGCCAGATTTTATGTGAAATCCAAACTTTTAAGTAAAAACTACCCTAGGGTCTAGGAAGACAAATACATGATCTTTTTTTTGGCTAATATTCATTTAACATGATTGGAAACAGAAGCGAGTCATGGCAAGAAAAGCAGCTTTATTTGGACCAAAACATACAAAACTAGAAAATTTGAACATGGTCGATGTTTTACAGATGGGCCTTGGGTAGCAACCAGGCCCAGGAAATTATCTGCAACCAGGCCTTCAGAGGTGATGCAGACTTAACTTCATTTGGGCCTGTTTTAAAAGTGTAGGTGGGGAAGAGAAATGTCAAGCAAAAGGCTGTCTCCAGAGAACTCTTAACTATCTCACCATGATTGCAGCCAAGAGACATCAACTATCAACAAACACTTAGTGCAGATATAGTATTCCCCCTCTCCCTTCAACTAGAAGATGCAGCCCACCAAACAGGCTCATATAAATCTATTATTTCACTTGCCTTCCTCTGTGCACAGGAATTTATTTCTTTGTCATTTCAAACTAGGAATTAGCCATGTCCACAATAGCATCTGTATTATTTTTAATACTATATTTCACTAACCCTGATTATCTCCAATTCTCAGTTCAAATAATGGGCTAGAACTGAGTCTCAGGCAAATCTTTTTCCTGCTCCTACCTTTAACTTGGGAGATGTAAGAGTGTGGGACAATGCTCTGCTTCTTTGTAGATTTTTTCTGTTCTTCCTTTGCAGAAACAGACTTCAAAGAGAAACTGGAACATTAAAACCAAGACGAAACTGCCTCTTTCTCACTAAACTTGGGTGGCTTTGCAGAGCAAATAGATGCTCAGTGCCTGTCCCTAAGTCCATCTTTTTCATTGTCAGAGCTGCACGTTCTGTAGCAACAGTAGCAGCATTCCTGAAACATCTGGCAGTCCCTTTCTCCTCACACTGCAGACGTACTGAAGTTTATCCTTTTCCTCATCACTGTTCAATGCAATAATGTAGTGTCCTACTTAAAACAAAGGAAATGATAAGGAACGCAATATGTTTGAGACACAATTGGGACTTTCAAGATTAAACTGAACCATACCTGCTGCTGACCATGGTGCCTAGAGCTGCTGGCATTTGGAATGCAGGGCCCAAAAGTTCTCTCCCTTTTTCCCTCTTCATGATGGGAGACTGAAGAGATGGCAGCTACTAAGCCTCTAAGGAGCAGCACCACTGCAGGCAACTGATTCACCATCTGCTTTCAACCATTCCCCTCTTTAAATATCTAAACTACCCCTCCTCAACCCAATTCTGTCATAAACTAAAATCTCTCTGGTCAGGAGATTATAGCCAATGCTAATATGCAAAAATAATCAGATCTTGCTCTAAATATGCAGTACAGTAAGATAATGCGATGCGCTTCAGATTCAAAAGCAAAAATATGTTTTTAAACCCATGTCAGGCATGTAAAACTTATTGGCAATTTTTTAAACCAAATATATTTATTCCTGGATTGGACTGCTGTTACAGCTGCAGAGGGCAGACATGCAATCCCAGAAAACAATACAGATATTTAGGAATTTCTGTCAATTATGTGAACTTCCATGGTTGAAGCAAGTTTTTCCCTTCAAATCCGATGCACTGTGTAGCTCTCTAAAATGAGATATCTCTGGAAGATAAATAAGGGGTGGATATTTTTTTTCATGAATTCCTTATGATTCCACTTCATCTTCATTTTCTACTTTGGATGAGGAATTCTTACTTTCTTAATGCTCCTTGAAATAACAAATGCTAACACCTACAAGCCAAGAGGATTACAATAGATTTCTTTGGCACCAACAAAACTATAAAGGTCAGGATAAGATTACTTTCTGAAGTGTAACTGTCAAGCAGGCACAAACATTGCAAAGCACTGCTATCTACTTCAGATTATGCCAGAAGCACAAGAAAAATGTGATCTTCTGTAGCAGTATTCATCAATCTGACAAGTTTGCAAATATATTGGCTTTCAGCAATCATAATATGCAATCTAAAACAATTTCAGAACTGAAGTCAGCACATATGGAAAATGCTAAGATAGGAAAGGCTGATTGCAATACCTAAAAGCTTCTGAGATCGCCAATAATATCAACAAAGGCATGATCTCCAAGTGAAAGGGGTACCAAGGATCTTGCTTTCCTAAATATATACTGGGGATACACCCAAGGCCTTTGCTCTTGTGTGCCTAATGAGTCTGCAACAGTCTTGTCATGCACAAATATATTGAATCATAACTCTGGTCTAATTAGCATTTTACAATGATTCTTTCAGCTGCAAATGTCAGAAATTAACCTATCATTTTTTCTGTGCAAACATTACAGCTTTGACTACAAAGTTGTGCTCTTCCCACAAAAGATATAATTCATTCCTCAAATTGCTTGGATCTTCTTGGGTCAACTAGGAGTACTTCAATGGACTCTACGAGGAGTTACCCCAAAGACAGGCCAGGACCAAGAACTACCCTGCTAATCAGGACATAGACATGACCAGATTATACCTATGGTGAATGATCTGTACAGATCATTAATTGCTTAATAGGCTTGGTTCAAAATGTTAAAGCTGTAATTGGATATCTATCTTAGAAACCCTATTTAACATCAAAAGTTGTTCTAAGAATATCTCATTTGCAGAAGCAGTCAGAGGAAATAGTCTTTCCCTGCACACCTTGCTTCCAAACTATTGATGACCTTAAAAGGGGTTAATGTAATCTGAGAAAGCAAGAAAACCTTTAAAAAGTCTCCAAAGTGGAGGGGAGGAAAGGGTTTGAAAGAAACCTCAAAAGCTTGGTGCAAACTTGCTTTCACCTCTAAGGCTGTTATTCACTCTAAGGTTTTTCACATTGAGCTTTGAAGCACGTAAAAGAAGCCTTTCCCACTATAGTGTTGTTTTCATGTTTTGCATGTTATTCTTGACTGCTAGCTGCCTCATGAAAAAAGGGCATAATTCCAATGATTATCCTCCTATACGTATCAACTAATGAACATGCAATAAAGGAGGCAGATAAATGATTATTGAAATATCAATGATTTTTTGTTACTTGTTTTGTACAAAAATAAATCTCTAAAAGTTGGTCTTTAAATTTATTTTAGTGTTACTCTTATGCCACTCTGAGGTTTATCCTAAACAGCAAACAAACAAGGTCAAAGGTAATATTTAAATACATTTCATATCAGTCATTCATTTCATACCCTAAGTTCAATACTTGTACTTCAAGTACACAAATCCCCAGCTCCAGATTCAATACTCCAAACTGAACAGCCACATTCTTTAAAGGAGCAACAAACTCATGTCAGCAATTCTGGGTCAGCTTCCTATTAATAGCAGTACCTCCTACTGCTTATGTTATCAGAACAATGTGTGATTTTTCCTAAAACAGCACATTTCTCCTGGCAGATATCCTCATTTGGTCAAACTCAGATTTTCTAGTTTTGTAATTTTTAGGTAAAATCACTCTTATTCATCACTGGAAATCATCCAATACATCACTCATATTATTTACCTGCTATAACAAGCATTCCCAGCCTGTTATCTTCCAACTATATGCTATAATAAAACTCTCCAAATTCCTTAATGGTCTGGTTTGTATATAATGCTGAATCATAATCAATGGACTTAAGAATCATGCTAAGTCACAAACAAAAAAGGAGGTGAATGCCAAGCTATTACAAGAAAATACATAGAGTCTTGAGAAAATGTTAAAAAGAAATGTAAACTATTTTGATTTGATTGTGTAAGCTGATATATTAAAGGAGAGAGGGGCTTTCAGATTCTCTAAAAAATACTTAAACTAGATTAAAGTGCTTTTTAACACTCCTGATAATTTCTGTTTCCTGATCATGTTTACCTTGAAGGGCTGACCCTAGGTGATGGCTTAACATTCTTGGGAACAAGCTAAAACATCTAACATTGATTTTAAAAAAACAAGTAACTGCAGCTCAGCCAGTAGGCATGGGATAAGGATGGCCAAAAGAAACTTAGATTAGTATATTGTCTTAATTCACAATAAGCCTTCCAAATGAGTACAAATTTACATTAATCTACTGAAAGTACAGAAGATTGACTTATTTGGATAGCATTGAACTATATATTGTTTAACAATGGCTTATTAAATACTGATTGCTTCCACACAGCATACTAAAATCAAGCAAGTCATACTATAGCTTAGAACAGTCCATGAACTAATGTGGCAAAACTAACTAAGCATCAACTCAATAAAGGAGCAGCTATATAAATCTTGAGAATCCACAAGATTTATCAAAATATTTAAAATATTTTCTTTTAGAGCCTATCCTATTAACTCCAATCCCAGATGTTCGTTTCACTTCTGCAAACTAGAATTGAAAAGCTCACCCACAGAAATGAAATGTGTTTATGACACACAATATACCCTTTGGCACTCAGGCTTATCACTCACCCCATTTAAGCTTCCAAGATCCTTCACCCAGTGCTCATCTTTTTCCTTGTCGTAATTGATGACGGCATGCTGCTTATCCACACTGCGAGACTGGAAAGACCAACATCATTAAATTAGGATGTTATAAGATAGAGACTGTTTTAATAGCTCTAATGATATGTCAAGACAGATATTAACCCAAAGGGAAATAGTACCTATCATATTAGGACAATATTACTTTTTATTAGTAATAGTTCTTCCATAAAAGTAGAATATTTTACAATACTGCCTATCCTGGCATTTTCTTAATCAGATCTTAACCTTGGTGACCATGTTTCCTTGGCCTGCCTACTAGCTTCCTACTACCATGTAAAATGTTAATTGTCTGGATCATTTTACAAAGCTGGTATGGAAAGGGAGTTTCAAAGGATATCACCCACACCAGAGAGCATTCAGCTATGTCAGTCTCTCTGCCACCAACACACAACCTACTAAGCCATATCATTCAGCCCAAACATACCTCAGCTGGATCTGCGTATGGTTAAATTAAAATGGATATGGTATGTTGTGGGACTCAACATGACCCAGGCTATTTTTAAAGCCACACAGTAATGTGTTTTTATTGGTGATAATGTAAATAGTTTTATGATTTAGTGGACTATGAGAACTTCACTAGTGATGTTTTCTAGAAGGCAGATCAATACAATATTAAAAAGCAGATTCCATCTTTTTGGAAAAAGTCAAGCTTCAGAATACATGTTTATGTCCACTTTTCTAAATTCTGAATACATGAATTTATTGTTTCTAAATTGCAGAAAGTAAGCAGTTATACCAGCTATTTCTTTACAACCAGTTCAAAATTCCATAGATAGATAGATAGATAGATAGATAGATAGATAGATAGATAGATACAGACCAAGTTCTAGAAATATCTGAGACATTCTCTACTACAAGTAGAACGAGCACTGCACTGCGCAGCAATAAAAAATAGAAAACTAAAGGGCTGAAAGGAATTCTGTTAATGACATCTGACGAGACTAGTTTGATCTTGTTTACCCAAGAAAATGCACAGGGAACCTTAAAAGTTTTATTCTTTTATTCATTGTGTGGACTTATGTAATCTTCAAGAACTCCCAATGGTTTACAACAAGCTAAAACATCCACAGAAAAGAACATTAAAATTTTCCCAGTAAAAATGCATCAGCATAAATTATTATACTGAAGCAAAAACAGAAACACCCCAATTATTTTCCAAACATGCTTCAGAAAAACACGTTTAATTAATTTTTGGACAGCTAAAGAGAGAAAGTTAGATTGTTTCCTAAAGGAGGCTATTTTAAAGAACACCTTTACTGAAAAATATTTCTGAGCCCAAGCTCCACACAAACCAAAATGTGGGATTGCAAACAGCACCTCTCAGGACATGACTTGGGCAGATGGATTCTGAATGGAGAAAGCAGTCCTACAGGTACCTAGCACCCTCCTATGGCTAAAATCAGAACACTGCACCGCCAATATGCAGAAATCCAACCCCCTCAGATACCAAATGCCACAGTCCTACCGATCCTGTTATTCAGCAAAGTGAAGTCACCATACTCCAACAGGATTTATCCTTTACCTCAAAAAGAAAAATGTTACAGGCCAATCCAGTTGCTTTTAGGAATAGAAGCTGAAAAACTGGTTTCAAATTTGTCAATGGAGAATTTTTGTACCATTAGTTTTGCTCCCTGCATTAGGAGGGGGGAGGGGAAACATTCATAGTATAAACCCAGCAACAGAAATCAGCATCTTAGAAGCTGCTAAGATGCAATTACTCAAGAAGGAAGTCCAGGAGCCAATGTCACTTCTCTCTACGGGTTTTCAGATTCTCTATTCAGCTATGTTTCATCTTTCCTAACCTCAGTTCCTAATCTTCAACAAGAATGTCAGATGGGGAGAATTTTACTAGGACAACAGCAGCAAGGTTTTCAATTACTATCACTTTTTGTTGCTTCATCACTAAAAGAGGATAAGAAGTAATGCTTGGTCGGCTGGTTTAGTAGAAAAACAAAAGGTTGCAGAGGTTATTTTAATGTCTAAAAGGAGTGTGCTCCATAGTGAAGTACATGTATTTTTAAAATATCAGTAACTCCAAAATAAGAGGCATTACTCAGTTGCTCTGTATTCATCTGCATATTAAATTCCATCACTTTCTAATTAGGTTTATTCAGGAGAATGGTGTTCCTTTTAAAAGAAATTAATTACCTCATCAGTATTAGTGTGGGACATGGAGCATTTTTTTCTGAAATAGAGGCAAAGTTTACTCTTCTCAAAACAAGGCATGCAAAGAAAAGGAAGATTGGAATGAGTAGCAGGACCTCTAAGAATCTGTGGAAAACCCAATTAATATTGCCCTCTATCTTCTCTCAAGGATGAGAAACTGATCTCTAAGAAATCTAGAAGGAGCTTCTGGAACTCCTCCAGATGCCCCCATGATTTGGGCTACAGTACTTAACAGGGAAATGTGCCTCATTGTCATTCCACCTCCAAAACAATATAGGAAATGGGTAGGGGGAAAAGTCATTGAAAGGTAGATTTGATTACTTAGAAATCTAGAAGATCTACAAGTTGCCTGTTAAAATGCTACAAAAGCACAATACAGAATAAAAGCAAAAGATGCAAAGTTGTTTTCTTAAAATGCTCAATATTAAGCTGATATAGTTGTTCATTCTACCTCCTAATGTATGAGAGTATGTCCCATCACATATTTCTGCTACTTTAAATAACAGAGACCTATGCTTTGCTACGCCATTCAGAAGAATTCAGATCAAAGTTCCATGTCATTCAGTGGAACAAATATTTAAAATAGCAACCCAACTATCCATTTGTGGAGTTCTTCTATTTCCTCCATAAATCTTTTCCTTCAGTGTTGGCTATTTAGTGCAAGTTGGAATGCCTGAAGCACAGATCAAGCATGTGTCAACTCCACAAGTCCAGGAATATTTCCAAATCTAAACACAGAATTCAGAGCAGACGTAGAAGTGAATTCCTTCAGCAGCTGAAATCCCCACAGCAACTGAGTTTTATCCACAACTAGTTCAAAAATAAGGCCTTAATGAAGTTCCCATTTTTCACTATATAATAATTTCATCCTCCTTAATCGTAAGGAGCATGTTGAATATTTCCAAATTGTGAAATAAGATCAGAAAGCTTGTAGAAAAATTAGGAGCTTGGACTTTGGACTTTCTTATTCAATTAATTAGGAGAATTAATTGGAAAAAAATTAGGACCTTGGACCTTGGGCTTTCTTATTCAATCTGCCTCTGGATTATGGATTTCCTGTCTGGCCACTCTCAGAGGTCCTTATTCTTAACACTGGTATACCACAGGGTTGTTTGTTGAATGCCTTACTCTATACTCTTTTATGTACATGGCTGTATTCCCACTCACGCCAGTAGTACTATTATTATATTTGCAGATGATACAACAGTGGTGGGACTCATCTCTGACGGGTTGATTTCGTGGTGTGGAGACAAGAACCTGGTCCTTAGACATCCATCCCTTGGTTATCAATGGAGACTACATGGAGCAGTTTTAAGTTTTGGGGTGTTATCGTAAAAGAGGACCTGACCTGGGGCACTCACATTGCAGCACTAGTCAAAAGGACCCAGCATTATACTACCTGAGACTTCTCAGGAAACAACAACTGAATGAAAAATTGCTGGTGATCTTCTATTTTCACTTACTGCACCTGATTATGGTTTGCCAATTGCACAGTGGCAGATCGGATAGCACTCCAGAGGGTTAACATCATTGCCCAGAGGATGATCTGCCTTAAGAAAGTTCCTATATAATAGGGATATAAAAATCCCTAATAAATAATATAATATTTATATTTATAATAATATATAATACTAATACTAATAGTATTATCCCCATATGCATAATACTAAAGCATATAGGCACGCAGTGGCTCAGTGGCTAAGCTTATCAATCAGAAATGTGGGCAGTTTGGCAGTTCGAATCCCTAGCACTGTGTAATGGAGTGAGCTCCCATTACTTGTCCCAGCTTCTGCCAACCTAGCAGTTCGAAAGCATGTAAAAATGCAAGTAGAAAAATAGCAACCACTTTCGTGGGAAGGCAGCAGCGTTCCGTGCGCCTTTGACATTTAGTCATGCCAGCCACATGACCACGGAGATGTCTTCGGACAGTGCTGGCTCTTCGGCTTTGTAATGGAGATGAGCACCGCCCCCTAGAGCCAGAAACAACTAGCATGTATGTGCGAGGGGAACCTTTACCTTAATGCATTATCACGGGTTTTCAATTCAGTTGTATAGAATGTGAAGGATGTGTGTTTTTCTTTTATTTTTATAGTTTCCTTATGTATGATGTACACTGAATTTCATTGTATGAGGTGCAATGACAATAGATAATATATACCAGTAATTAAATATTGTGTTCAGCAAAATTGTTTAGCTTACAACCTTTGTTTAAACCAGTCTTTCCCAATCTTGGCAACTTTAGATGTATGGACTTCCAATTTCCAGAATTCTCCAGTCCATACAAGTTAGCAGGATTGGGAAACACTGGTTTAAACCAACTCATCTATTGGCCCATATTCTCAAAAGCTCTTAAGAAGAAATTGATGCCAAGCCTTAACATCTGGCCAAAGAACAAACCCCAGCAAGCCTCTAACTCACATATTCCCCAATTCATTTGGCACATCCTTAAAGACTACTTAAGAAGCATTATGTTTGTTATTGCAAGTAAAGAAACTACAATTATTAGACAAAATGCAAGTAATCCTTTTAAGATGAATTAAAATAAACTAAAATCAATATTTAATTAATATCTCCTTTCCTCCCAGAGAAATATGGTTAAAAATTGTTTCAATTGTTTTGGTTTACAATGACAATAAAACATGGCTTGTTTTAAGCACTGTTTGTTGAAAAGCTAAAATGCTGGATTCACTATTATACTATCTAATAAACCATGCTTTATAAACCACATTAGCTGAGATCATATATTGGTATAAATCATAAAACTAATCATACTATGGCAATATAATATGTTGTCTGAACCAAACTCCGGTTCAACTAAGGTGAATATTTTCAAGCTTTTTTTCAGCTTTACCAAAAAAAAGAAGGGAAATATCACCTCCCAAAGTTTCTATGCTTGTGTTAATCATGACAAACTATGGGTCACTTTATGTAGAGAATGCACTTACCTGGAGCATGAGTTCACAGTCTTCCCTACCAACAAATATCATCTCCCGAGGAAGCCGATGGCGAATACCTGTCCCACTCACCAGGAACCATGATGTTGTGCTCATTTTGCTGTTTGGCATTTTAACTTTTCACCATCCTATCTGAGCAAAAGAAAAATCTGGTTAGGTTTGTAATAATCTTTCTAGAAATCCAATTACTTCTGATCAAAAATCCATCATGTTTATACTACAGAAGATAGACACTATATGTGTCTATGTCCCATTATAATAACAATCAATGATTGATAGGAATGAAAGCTCACCAGAAGCCAAGCCTGGAAGAAAATTACCAATAGAAAAATTAACTTCTCAAACACATTAGAGAGAGACAAGACAGTTTGACTGTTGATTATTCTGATGTCTTAATAGAATATAATTTTCAGTTCAATACAAAACAGTATGTCAGCAGAGAAATGAATGAGGCTTTGAGAGAGAAGGGAAAGTAGTGCATCCCATACAAGATTCAGAGATAGAGCATAAAGAAGATATATACTAAACATTTAATTTTGAGGGGTCTTTGGTGCTGGTGTTACCTAGTTTGGGTAATGAAACGTCCACCAAAAAAATCAAGCTCAGAGAGCACCAAGGACCCCTCATTTCAACCCTGAGCTACAAATGTTCTCCTTTTAATGGTATATTTATATTTTGTTAGTAAATTAAATTGTCTGGCATTACACAAACAAATTGAAGGTTACACAATATGCTAAAGTACAAAACAACAAAACCTAACTAGTATGCTGTGCAAATGTAACTGACATGGTTTACCACACTGTATAAATTCAGCTTTGTAGTCAAGAATGATCCTTCAAAAACAATTGTGGCTACTTAATCCCCATTTAAACTGATAATCCTGATTTATTCCTCTTTTAAAAGGCTATGTTTATAACTCAAGGTTTGCTTTTAACTTGTTAGTCTTGGAGGAGGGAAGAATGTGTATGGAGTTCATGTTTATTTATCTGGTCAATCCCAATCAATTAAGATTTAAGGTACTCATTCATTAAACTTATATTTACTTCAGGAGTTCAAGGCAGTATACATAGCACACATGCCTCCAAATATTCTCTGAACAACTGTCCAATAAGATAGGTTGATCTAAAAGGCAGTGATTAGCCAATAGTCATAATTGAGACTGGACCTGCAATTAAATCTCACCAGATATAATTTATCATTTAAACAACAATAATATACCACTCTCAAAAATTATGTAATATCCAGGCTTGTTATACCTGAATCCATCTACTGACCTGTAGTACAGTAGTGGGGAAACTCACAACCTGCCAGACAAATGTAGTCCCTGAACACATTTGGTCATACTTTCTGAATTTATGCTGCTAAATTTCTGAAAGGCACTCCCAAGAAACACAATCCTAATTTTGTACTCGGTTTCCAAAATAATAAAGAAGCATTAAAGTGTTAGTCTTTCTTTAAACATGTATAATAATTAATTTGTTTGACGGGTCTAAGGAGACCCAAGTTCAAATATAAACTCAGCCAGGGAAGTTCACAAAGTGATCTTCTTTTACTCTCTATCACACCAACCTGTGTCTCAAGATTGTATAGGTAAAAATCATGAGAGTTCACACCTACGTGAATCAAAACTGACTTCCTGGAAGAAAGGCAAAATATAAATCTAAGGAATGACATCACCCCAAATCTCCAAAACCCAAACTTCATGATCATTTGTGTGATATCATGACATAGTTCCCTGCAACCTTCAGTTATTGCCATGGTCAAAAACAGATTACAGGCACACAAAAGACCAGATTTTTTGTTAAGCCTTGACTTCAGTTGAAGAAGAAGGGCTGCATAATCTTCTCCGGGGCAAGTCATTCAAGGAAAAAGATGAAAAGTTTTGTTTTTTTAGATTGTAAATCGTAATTTCAAACTTAATTTCAGAGAAGCATACACAAATATAAATTAGTACAATTGAAAGAAATAAAGGACAATAACAATAAAACAGAAAACATGAGCATATTCAACCAGAAATAATTTTCTACATATTGGTCTTCTTTGAAAGGAAAAGGTGACAACATTTTTAGATTCTCTTTCTATAAATAATACGCATTAAATTAACATATCCAGGAAGTAGCAGTGGCAGAAAATTAGCATATCAAATAGGAATCCTGGCAGCAATAACAGACTTTCTTTATGAACAATTTTACTTATAAATTCTCTCCCAACACACCTTAAATAATTTAAAAACAACTCCTGTCTCCTAACTTTATATCATGCAGTACTTAATTATCTTAGTAATAATACTTGTGTGTAGGTTAAGAATACCCAGAATTAGGTGTATCTATTTTAAAAAGCATTTTATGCATTTCCAAATATTCTCATTATTTATTGAGTGTACATCCCGCCTTTCATACAAGTGCTCAAAGAATGTATGTTCCATCTTATTTCTCTCCATAACAATTTTATGAGGCCTTAAGTCACTGTGGTGGGGGATGGATTGCTAGAAATTATTATATAGGGATTTCTTTTTCTATGTAATACTTATTTGATTAAAACTATGCACCATCTTTCCTAAAAATTAAAAACAGCAATAAAATGAATATTTTTAAATTAAGAAATCAACACAAAAATAGCCAAAGAAAACAACTTCCATGGAACTAAATATTTGTTTCATTAGCCTGAAACAATCTGTTAAACAAATAGCCCAAATTTGGTAATGTGTTTAATAATCATATTTGAATAACACAGCTTTTCCAAAATTAGACTGAAACTGAAAATAATGTCAACATCCAAATGAAGCACAGTTCTTTTTTAAAATATAAGTTTGGAAACATAAAAGGAACCAGATTTAAACCAGATCAACTTTGTCTAGAATCTTATTCCCAGAGCTGCAGATCTGACAAGCTTTCTCAAGTCATGAGGACAATAACACCTCTCCACACATTTCTTAGCAACTAATAATAGAGATAATCTATCTATTCAACCAGTATGCATTTATGCTTTTTCTTCCATTACTTGTCTGATCCTTTTTAAAGCCATTCACATTGGTTACAAATGTTGGGACAGTTCCCAAAGATTCCTTTACTCTGCTGGACAAATGACCTTGTATTGCAGGAAAAGAAAATGAGTGACTATGGATGAGCTTTCAAAACCATGAATATTTTGCAAGACTTTTAATATATTGTCTTTATTCTACCTCATCTCATCTGACTTTTTTCTAAATTATAAAGAAAATGAGATGTTGTAACTTTTCCATTCTGTTCCAGGACTATTTGGTTATCCCTTTGACTGTGTTTTTACTCACATTTGCCAACAATTATTTTTTTAAAAAACTGTGATCATTCCAGCAGTTGATTTAATATGCATTGGTGGCTGGAACACTAAAAGAAAATTTACAGTGTTTCCATGGAAAGAATTTATTCTCTGTGGCACAAACTTAATGCAGCAAATTACTAAAAGCAAACCCATTAACCTATAACTTCAGTATCTGTTTCATTGGTGACCTATGGAAAGCTACATTTGAAGAAGTTGATTACAAATGCAAGAACTACATGAAATTTTAGAATGTAAGCATAATAGGATGAAAGAGATTGTAATCCTAGAAACATTTAAACAGGACTAAACTTCACTGAAACACCTTACTCCCAGTTAAATATATTTAGAATTGTATTCTATGAGATTCAGCTCTAGAACAAGTCAGATTCAAACTGGTTGCAAATTCATAAGGAGAATTGTACTACCATAACTCACATCCCACACAACACAAGCATTCTATGTTGCCAATTTCACAGCAGCTTCTAATAGGAAAATGTGCAAAACTGCAATCTCATGACATAGATGTACTCTACCACACAAAATAGATGAGTAGCAACTCATGTGGCTGCCATTGCTGTATAACACAACAAATAGCCAAATACTATTCTAGCATTCGATACAGAAATTAAACAAATTGAACTTAATACCCTCCAATCGTGTGGATCAGATCAATCATCTTCCCAAGCTTATATATTCAGTGGGCTTATTGGTACTTACCACAACCCAAGAGGCTGTTATTAGAGACTGTCATTCAACACAGCTGAAAAGCATCAAGGTAGAAAAGTCTGTCCATTCTCCCTTAGTCCTGCCACTATCTAACATATAAAGATAAGAACTGATCTATCCCTGAAAAGATTATGAAAATATCGGATGTGTTGTTGTAAATGCTCACAAAATGCTTCCTAAAAATTCAACTTGAAATAAATAAAAGGTCTGAATATCACTCTTTTTAAAACAGCATCTTTCTCAATCTGCTTGCTCTTCTAATATATGCAACTAACTGCAAAGACATGTTTGTATCTGTTACTAGAAGGAAGGGAATAAACATGCTAAGCAGGGTCTTATGCAGACACAAGTCAGGACAGTAATCAAAGCTTGCAATGCTTATGTTATCTCCTCCCTGCCCCCCTTCAGCGGCAGTATCTTTAATCATCTCACTAAACCTCAGAGGTGGCAAATTCAACAGCAATGAATGCTTATTATGGACATTTTCTGAAAAGGAGGGGAAGATTTAAAGGAAAACACAGACAGGCAGGTCTCAATAATCCATCTGATGGAGGGGGAAAGGGGGAGAAGAGTTTAATAAGGAGAATAAAGCTAAATGCAAGAGAGAGCTGCTGTGGAATGGAGTAAATGAAACAAATTATTAGAAAAGCTTAATAACAAAAAGACAGGAAGGCGCTTAGATCAAAAGAAGAACATGCTCAAGGGTGATTGCCTGGTTGGCAGCCACCAAATGCCAATTCAGCTAGTGAGGCCAGGATTCATCCCAGATCTTTCGCCATTATGAAGCCACTGCCAGCAGCTATCCACACCTTAGAGAAAAAGGGTGGAGGAAAAAGCCAACCAGCCGTCAAGCCAAGGTGTGATCACAAAACTGCCAGCCAGCTTAAATTGTCTTTCAGAAAATATTTGGCAGATCAGTAGCACCTTTAACCTCCACAGTTCCAAAACCTAGGTTGGAGCAGCAAAATCTCTTTGTTTAGAAAGAAGACTAAGGCAAACAGCAAGCATTGGCTCAAAGCAGAGGCATTACTAGGTCCATGAAAATTATGCTGGGTGGCAGCAAGGCAGGTGACAGAAGTGAGGGAGAACTAGAGAGGAAGAAAGCAAAGAGGAAACCCAAAGTTCCACTAATCCCATATTATAAACCTGGCAGGAGACTTTTTTTCCCCTTACACCTGCTTTCACTGAAAACAATGCTCTACCTGTAGTCACTGAAATAATAATCCCCTCCCCCTCCCTGCAACTTGCACACCTCTTCCTTGTTCTTTCCACACCCAGACACACCCAGTGTCACCCACAGTTCCGCATCCCAGCTGGAGAAGTGGATGCATTACCTCCGTTTACCTGGCCAAACGGCTGCACCCGCAGTCTCCCCTCTGCCACACCTGCCTTCCCAGCTTTTAGACCCTCTCCCCTGCTCCCAGCCAGAGCCTCTTATGGCATCACGAGACTCTTTGTTGTATTCACATCTGCTTCTCTCCCCCACCCCCACCTCCACCCCAAATCCCGGCGGGAGGGGTAGTTCTTTCCCCCCCCCCCGCCGCCGTCTGCCTCTCCCACATCACCAGCTCCACCCGCCCCCCGCGGTCCGATTCTGCAGCAAGGCTACGGCGCACCCCTTCGCCTTCCCTTCCTCTCCTCTATCCGCAATCCCGGCCCTACTGCTCATCCCCGCAGGGAGGCCTCCGCCTGGGTTGCGCTCCACAAAGCGACCAGGTGCTGCTTCAGCGAGCGGAGGCCTCGGGCAGAAACCCGGCGAGCAGGATCAGCTGTTTCCTGCCAGAGGAGAGGACCCGGCCTGGACTTCCTTCGGCAGGGAGACCGGAGGGCTGCTTTTTCCCGTAAACTCAGCCTCCTCCCGGTTACCTGTCCACCTTACCCTGCCCGCACCAACGGCGCCGACTTCCTGCCTTCAGCGCTGCGCCAGGTGAGAGCGGCCCAACCCAGCCCAGCGTGGCGGCGGCGGCGGCGGCTGCAGCTTCGAGTCTACCCCTTCAGCCTCCTCGATTAGGCGCTGCCATTATGCCGTTGCCCATATTTGCTTTTCGGGTTCTCTTCTCCTTCCTCCTCGGCGCCGGGACCGTTCTCGCTGCCCAGGCACGAAGAAGCAGGCAGCGCCGCCTCCCGACTTGCACAGCAGGTTCCAGACGCCAAGGGGCGGCTCTCGCCTTCTCTCTCGCTCTCTCCTCCCCCTTCCCCTCCCTCGCCTTTCTGCGCCTTATGTTCAGCCTAATTCTCCCTTCCGGGCAGCTCCGGCAGCAAACCGCCAGGTTAGGTCAGGTGACGACGACGGAGCGAAACCTCGTCCCGCCAGACTGGTTCGCTGCCCGCTTCGGCCGAAGCTGCTCCGGAGCTTGCTTGCGACTTGCCAGACTGGCGGACTGGAACGGCCCCGAGGGCGGGATATTCCGCCAGGAGCTGCGGCGGCAGTACGCGGCGTTCTACTGGGAAAGAAAGGCAGGGTGGGGGCGTTACGAGGCGGCAAATAATTGGAGTGAGGAGCAGTGGAGGAGGGGAAGGGGGTTCGGCGTTTCCCGTGCCGGTGGCCAAAGATATTCGCCGTCGAAACCACAGGGAGAAGGAGAAACCTAAATTACAGAGCAATGGAGCATGCAGGGAAAGAAACGCCAGCAGATGGGATTGAAATCGGTGTGCATCACTTGGGTTCTAGACCCCCTTGGGGGTCTCTATAGAACAGACCCTGATCAGATTGTTACCGAGATAAGTATTTTCTGTAGGCCCAAGACAACAGTTTTCAAGTAGAGACATCGGATGGTCTACCTAATCCAGGGTTCTCAGCATGTCAATGAAAGGGAAACGTTTTCTCGACAGGTAATCCACAGTTGAGGCCAGCATTTCCATTGCTAAGCAGGGCAGTTGTTAACTGAGTCTCACCCAATGTTATGACCTTTTGCCATGGTTGTTAGGCAAATCACTGTAGTTGTTCAGTGAATCAAATGGTGGTTAAACAATCCAGTTTTCCCCCCCACCCCACCGACTTGGCTCTGGGAAGATTGCAAATGGCAGTCACATGACCCCTGGGATGCAGCTTCTGTGGTGAATACATGCTGGTTGCCAAGCGCCTGAATTTTGGACACATGGCCATGGGGATACTGCAATAATAAGTATGAGGATTGACTAGAAGTCACTTTTTTTCATTACAATTGTTTGGTCACTAAATGAATGGTTGTAAGTTGAAGTCTGCCAGTACAGGTAGTCCTCAACTTACAACCTCCATTGAGGCCAACATTTCTCTTGCTAAGTGAGACAGTTAAGTGAGTTTTGCCCCATTATGCAACCTTTCTTACTTCAGTTAAGTGAATCACTGCAATTAAGCAAGTCACACGTTTGTTAAGTGAATCTGGCTTCCTCGTTGACTTTGCTTGTCAGAAGGTCGCAAGCGGTGCTCACATGACCCCACATGATGCTGCAACCATAAATATGAGTCAGTTGCCAGGCACCTAAACTTTTACATGGCCATGGGGAAGCTACAATAGTTGTGTGAAAAACTGTCATGTCACTTTTTCCAGTGCTGTTGTAACTTTGGTCACTAAATATACTGTTGTTGAGGTCTACTGATACAGGTGAAACTCGAAAGATTAGAATCTCGTGCAAAAGTTCATTTATTTCAGTAATGCAACCTAAAAAGTGAAACTAATACATGAGATAGACTTATTACATGCAAAGCAAGATAGTTCAAGCCGTGATTTGTCATAATTGTGATGATGGCTTACAGCTCATGAAAACCCCAAATCCACAATCTCAGAAAATTAGAATATTACATGCAATCAATAAAAGAAGAATTGTACATAGAACAATATCGGACCTCTGAAAAGTATAAGCATGCATACATATACAGTACTTGGTTTGGGCCCCTTTTGCAGCAATTACTGCCTCAGCGTGGCTTGGCATGGAAGCTATCAGCCTGTGGCACTGCTGAGGTGTTATGGAAGACCAGAATGCTTTAATAGCAGCCTTCAGCTCTTTTGCATTGTCTCTCATCTTTCTCATAGATTCTCTATGGGGTTCGGGTCAGGCGAGTTTGCTGGCCAATCAAGCACAGTAATCCCACAGTCACTGAACCAGGTTTTGGTGCTTTTGGCAGTGTGGGCAGGTGCCAAGTCCTGCTGGAAAATGAAGTCAGCATCCCCATAAAGCTCGTCTGCAGAAGGAAGCATGAAGTGCTCCAAAATCTCCTGGTAGACAGCTGTGTTGACCCTGGACTTAATGAAGCACAGTGGACCAACACCAGCAGATGACATGGCTCCCCAAATCAACACAGACTGTGGAAACTTCACACTGGACTTCAAAAGCATCTTGCAGTGTGAGCCTCTCCATTCTTCCTCCAGACTCTGGGTCCTTGGTTTCCAAATGAGATGCAAAAGTTGCTCTCATCAGAAAAGAGGACTTTGGACCACTGAGCAACAGACCAGTTCTGTTTTTCTTTAGCCCAGATAAGATGCTTCTGACATTGTTGTTCAGGAGCAGCTTGACAAGAGGAATACGACATTTGAAGCCCAGATCCAGGATCCGTCTGTGTGTGGTGGCTCTTGATGCACTGACTCCAGCCTCAGTCCACTCCTTGTGAAAGTCCCCAACACTTTTGGATGGCCTTTTCCTGACTGTCCTCTCCAGGCTGCCGTCATCCCTGCTGCTTGTGCACCTTTTTCTTCCACACTTTTCCCTTCCACATAACTTTCTATTAATGTGCTTTGATACAGCACTTTGGGAACATCCAACTTCTTTTGCAATTACTTTTTGAGGCTTTCCCTCCTTATGGAGGGTGTCAGTGATGGTTTTCTGCACAACTGTCAGTTCAGCAGTCTTTCCCATGATTGTGATTCCTACTGAACCAGACTGAGAGACCATTTAAAGGTTCAGGAACCCTTTGCAGGTATTATGGCTTAATTAGCTGATTAGAGTGGGACACTTTGAGCCTAGAATATTGAACCTTTTCACAAGATTCTAATTTTCTGAGATTGTGGTTTTGGGGTTTTCATGAGCTGTAAACCATAATCATCTCAATTATGACACATCACGGCTTGCTTTGCATGTAATGAGTCTATCTCATACAATAGTTTCACCTTTTAAGTTGCATTACTGAAATAAATTAATTTTTGCACGATATTGTAATTTTGTTAGTTTTACCTGTACAATTTCATGAACCTAAATTTTGGTTTTTCTCCTTCATGGTATTTCAGATGTCATTTTTTTCTGCTTCTGTAAATTTTAAAATGTAGAAAAATGCTGCTGTTATCCCTTCATATCCAAGAGAAGAGAATATGGGATATCCCTGAGCTCCTCCTTCACTGTTTTTTCTTCTGTTTTCTTCTCTTTGTGAAATCTGATGACAGTAGCATATAAATATGTATAAAGAGGCACTCACCTTTTTGATCTCTGCAGCTTTCCATACCATTGACCAATGGTTTCCTTCTGGATTGGATGAGAGGATTGAGGGTGATCAACACAGTGTTCTGCTGGTTTGCCTCCTTTCTCCAGATCAATTCCAGCCAATGATGATTGGAAAAGAGAAATCCTACCCTCAGCTCCTACTATCTGGGGTGCCGCAGGGCTCAGTGCACTCTTTCCTATTCAACATCTACATGAGGCTGCTGGGTGAACTCATCTGTCACCATGGGATGAGGATCATCAGCATAGTGATGATACTCAACTATACATTTCTGTTCCTTGTGAACCTAAGTGATGATATGGCCATCTTATCCCAAGTGCCTGGGCTGTGAGGGTCTGGATGGGAAATAACATACTTCAGATGAATCCTGGCAAGATTAAGTAGCTTTAGATTTTGGGCCCTTTTCCAGGATTATGCAGTCTTTGGTGCTGGATGGAGTTGCAGTGCCCTGGGCAGACCTGATGTGTAACCTGGGAGTCCTTTTGGACTCACAACTCCTTCTGAAGAGTAGATGTGCCTATAAGGGCTTTTGCATGATTTCATGTTGTGCATCAGTTCCTGTATTGGAGGGCTCAGCTCATAGACAATCATGCCCTGATCAACTCCCAATTGGATTACTATAATGTGCTGTACAGCACATGTTACACTTTTGCTCTGTGAGCTCCATTGGTCACCAGCCTGCTTCTGGATCCAATTCAGGGTGCTGGCTTTGACCTTTGAAGCCTTTCGTGGCAAGGGCCAAGTTCTCTGAGGGACAATTTCTCCCCAGTTATATCTTCCCATCCCAATCAGATCCAGCATCATGTGTGGGCCCCATTAGAGCTGTGGTGGTGCAGTGGTTAGAGTGCAGCACTGCAGGCTACTGCTGCTGCTGCTGACTGCTGGTTGCCTGCAATTTGGCAGTTCAAATCTCACCAGGCTCAAGGTTGACCTCACCCTTCCATCCTTCCGAGGTGGGTACAATGAGTACCCAGATTGTTGGGGGCAATATGCTGACTCTGCAAACTACTTAGAGAAGGCTGTAAAGCGGTATATAAGTCCAAATGCTATTGCTATTGCTATCTTTTAGGGATTTACACTTGACAGGCCCCAAAAGATGGGGCTCCCCTGCAAAGGCACCAACATTATGGAAGTAAGGTCAAGTTCATCCTTACTTTCCAGAACTCTTTTATCATGCTTCGTCATCAGTCATGAGGGTCTGACTATTGAGATCTAGAAGCTGCTCCTTTGCTAATCTAATCCAGAGTTCCCCAAACATTTTGGCTTTGTGGACCACCCAGGAGGACAGGGGGGTAGGGGATGGTTCCATACAACTGAGCATGTGCATGCAGCTCCATTTATTCAATTTTTACATGTTCTTTTATATTTTTGTATGCCACCCAGAATCACTTCTTGTCAGATGGATGCTATAAAAAAATTGATGAACGGAAAGGAAGGAAGGAATCATGCTGTTTAGCTATCACTATGTAACTTAAGATGGCCAATAAGCTTCTCGAGGGCACCAATTTCCAGAAATGTTTTAATTTAAGAAATATATGAAGTGATACATTTGATTAAGTGAGTGTTTCTCAACCTTGTAAACTTTTAAGATATGTGGACTACAATTCCCATAATTCTAACTTTCATAGCTGAAAGTTAAAGTCCACACATCTTAAGGTTTAAATCACCTTAATTCAAAACTATTTTAAATTAGTCCAGCTTGGTCTTTTTGCTTTGTGTCAG